TGTATGCGTAATTGCGCACACATGGCAGCGGTTATTGTCGCAAGAAGGAGACATGGAAATGAAGCAAGGAGACGCAGAGAACGCATTTTTTCACTCCGTGTGAATATTTTTGGAATGAACGAGGAAACGATAATCAAAACATATCGTTTATCCAGCATTGCCATTTTGGAGCTGTTGGGGGAACTCCGAATGGATTTGGAGCCAGCCACAAGGAGGACCCACGCAATAACAGATATCACAAAACTCCTTGCAACATTGCACTTTTTTGCATCTGGGTCATTCCAGCGTACGGTTGCAGCGAGAGCTGGGATCTCCTAATCTCGTTTTTTCAGAAGTGCTGTCCGAAGTGCTGTCCGACGGGGTCGGGGTTCTCCCACTGCGCCTGTGGAGCAACGTGCCAAATGCTGCGGGGATCTCATCCACAGTCACAGGCCAATACAAAACACCTGTTTTTTTTTTGTTTTTTTTTTTTTTACTGCAGCACATACCACCTTAGGGAATAAAGGTTGCCAATTTATAAATAAATAAATAAATATATATATATATATATATATATATATATATATATATATATATATATATATATATATATATATATATATATATATATATATATATACATATATATATATATATATATATATATATATATATATATATATATATATATATATATATATATATATATATATATATATATATATATATATATATACACTATATTGCCAAAAGTATTTGCTCACCCATCCAAATTATTGGAATCAGGTGTTCCAATCACTTCCATGGCCACAGGTGTATAAATTCAAGCACCTAGGCATGCAGACTGTTTTTACAAACATTTGTGAAAGAATGGGTCGCTCTCAGGAGCTCAGTGAATTCCAGCGTGGAACTGTGATAGGATGCCACCTGTGCAACAAATCCAGTCGTGAAATTTCCTCGCTCCTAAATATTCCACAGTCAACTGTCAGCTGTATTATAAGAAAATGGAAGTGTTTGGGAACGACAGCAACTCAGCCACGAAGTGGTAGGCCACGTAAACTGACGGAGCGGGGTCAGCGGATGCTGAAGCGCATAGTGCGAAGAGGTCGCCAACTTTCTGCAGAGTCAATCACTACAGACCTCCAAACTTCATGTGGCCTTCAGATTAGCTCAAGAACAGTGCGCAGAGAGCTTCATGGAATGGGTTTCCATGGTCGAGCAGCTGCATCCAAGCCATACATCACCAAGTGCAATGCAAAGCGTCGGATGCGGTGGTGTAAAGCACGCCGCCACTGGACTCTAGAGCAGTGGAGACGCGTTCTCTGGAGTGACGAATCGCGCTTCTCCATCTGGCAATCTGATGGACGGGTCTGGGTTTGGCGGTTGCCAGGAGAACGGTACTTGTCTGACTGCATTGTGCCAAGTGTAAAGTTTGGTGGAGGGGGGATTATGGTGTGGGGTTGTTTTTCAGGAGCTGGGCTTGGCCCCTTAGTTCCAGTGAAAGGAACTCTGAATGCTTCAGCATACCAAGACATTTTGGACAATTCCATGCTCCCAACTTTGTGGGAACAGTTTGGAGCTGGCCCCTTCCTCTTCCAACATGACTGTGCACCAGTGCACAAAGCAAGGTCCATAAAGACATGGATGACAGAGTCTGGTGTGGATGAACTTGACTGGCCTGCACAGAGTCCTGACCTCAACCCGATAGAACACCTTTGGGATGAATTAGAGCGGAGACTGAGAGCCAGGCCTTCTCGTCCAACATCAGTGTGCGACCTCACAAATGCGCTTCTGGAAGAATGGTCAAAAATTCCCATAAACACACTCCTAAACCTTGTGGACAGCCTTCCCAGAAGAGTTGAAGCTGTTCTAGCTGCAAAGGGTGGACCGACGTCATATTGAACCCTATGGATTAGGAACGGGATGTCACTTAAGCTCATATGTGAGTCAAGGAAGGTGAGCAAATACTTTTGGCAATATAGTGTATATATATATATATATATATATATATATACTTATTTATTTTTTTTTGTTGGGGGTCACTGTAAGATTTAAATTTCTTAATGCACTAGTTTGTACAGACTACAAACTACTTTGCCGCAAACCACAAAACGCGCAAAACCATCATTTAAATAGGGCGTCTCCAACAGTTTTGCACCTTCCACCAGTTACGCAATCGCTCTTGTTAAATCACCCGCAAACCATGGTTCAGCCCCTCGCGCAAAATTCCACTTTGCGAGCGCAAATTACTGCACGCAAAATTGGATCTTGATAAATCCGGCCCCATGAGTCAATTTAAGTAAAATTTGCAGCTGGATGGATCCTTAATGTCAATGGGAAGGTAAGATTTTCAAAGATACTGAGAGTCTAACTGTCAAGTAGTGTGGTGGTTGTATTGTGCCATTTAGATGCTAGAGTAGAAGAATCAATAAAAAAAAATAGGAAAATCTCTCTTAAACCTCAGAAAACTTAATATTTAGCCACAACTGTAACAGAAAAATGACCCCAAACATATTTTTTCTGATAGACAAAAATCAGTAACATTAATTTCAAATTGGGTGATGATAAATGAGTTAAAACCATCAGGGTTGTTGGAGCTTGCAACCAGTCTGAAATGTAAACAAAAAAAGTACAATTCTGATCGTGTGGATCTCAAATAATTTTCCAGTACATCATAAAGTAAAACTTTTTTTTACTTTAACAAACCTGTTACTGGTACTTACACTGGTATGAAAAGTTTTATCATCCATTTACCAAGACTGTTTATGTGGGTTAATGTTCCTGCCCCCATAAGAATAAAATCACAAGAATAATATCATACAAAAGCATGTTTCAATGGATCTTTAGAAGTGATTCAAATGACTAAGCTCAGTCAAAATTGAACTTAATTTCAGCAAGAGAATAACATTTGATAGGTTATCATTTATTCTATTAGGAGTTCCGTGAACTGTTTCTTCCTGTTCCCTGGTAATGATAGTTGTCAGGCAGATTCATCCTATTTTTACTATATAGCGAGAAAAAAACATTGGAGTTTTTTTAATGATTGTTCTTTTTATTGTTTCTTTTTTTATTTTATGTTGTTCTCATAAAATATTTAAGAAAATCCTTCAATAAAGCTTAAATTGTTAAGATTTGGTTTGATTCACATGAAATTTCAGTAAACAAGCTTGTAGCACAATAAATCCCAGTTTCTTACCTGTTAACTTTATTAAAACAGATAACAATAAATGAAAGACTTCTATGCTTTAGAATGTATATTTGGTGCAAAACTACGAATATCATGGTGTTTCAGAGACTTTCTAATTAAAAAGCATAATTTCTGCAGCTGAAAAGAAAAGTATGATGGATGTGAGACTAAAAATTTTAAGTGGTCATATATAATTCACAATAGTTTAACATAAAATGAATTTAACGAACTCCAGAGATTTTCCACTGAATTCAGTTTATTTTTATATTTTCAACGCAAACAAAATTATTACACGCATTTCCAAACATATAAATACATCAATTCCTAATAAAAACAGGCAAGTTTAGTGCAAACCATAATTGTAATTTTTAGGACAGAGATTCCAACACAAAGGAGGTTAACCACAGATAAAGTTCAAATAGGAGAATGCCACCTGGTTTATGGACAGGCTCAAAATTTTCATTTCCATAACCATCCAAGAGCACTTTCATCATCAACAAATGTATATTTGCATTAACTGTAACATTAGAGACAAAAAGGAGAAGGTTTTGGTTTGCATCGTGCTGGAAAGATAAGTCATGCCAACACACATGACCTCTCCGGTCAGTTTTCACAACGATGCATGCATATTAACAGGTAAGCCTCTACTAGAGTGATAACTGAAGTGTTTGCTTCATATTCTGGACTTTTAAATAAGATGTGGTCAACTATATTTGCAATGAATTAGTGTTATTCTGCTAAGTAGGCTTTATTGGCAAGTTATATTATACTGTAAGTAAAAGGCTTACATTATGGTAAGACAAATAAAGGACTTGGAGGTCATATTACTCTACAACTACTCAAAAAATTTATTAAGCATGGGAAGAAAAAACAGCTACTGCAAAGTGTGCTTCTGAAAAACAAGTAAAAAAGGAAAATAAAAGTCAAATGATTTAAAAAACACAGTTTGACCCAATCAGAATGAGCTACAACTCTCTATGTGAATATTTAACACTGCATCAGATCTAACAAAATCTATATGACTTCCCTGGATCGTTTTAAAGTCATTTTGATCTTTGCTTAATGCAATTTAATAGGAAAATAAACTTCCTTTATAACTATTATTCACCTTATGTAAATGTGCAAAGACTGCAAGAGCCACAACAGTTAAAAATTGTAACACTTCACTGTAAACTTGTTTACAGCGTTTATGATTAAACATAAATATAGGCTGGCCAGGTTTTGATTTAAATTCATAAATACAGTGCTGTGAAAAAGCATTGCGCACATGTCACAGAAATATGAAAATCTGTATCTAATGAGGATTTCGTGAGTAATAACAAAAAGCTAAACCAATCTGACACTTTATCTTTGAGACTTTTACTACCTTGTAATGTGTCTCTGGTTTTGGTTTAATTCAGCCACCCTTCATTTATTTATGGTCTGTTTAAGGACATGTCCCTAGATCTCAATCAGGTTTAGGTTAAAATCTTGATGGGGTCAGTTTAAAACCTTCTGGATCATTGTCCCATTCTGTAAACCCTGCATTGTAGAGTTTCTGTCTTGTCAGTCTAGAATATTCTCATAAAGTCTTGGGGATCAATAAATTCTTTAGAGGGAATTGTTTGGGGAACCTAAACTACGGAAGTCCAATTTGTAGATAATCCTTCAATGTGGCTTTGTAACCTGATCCTCCTTTTTTCCAGTAAGGTTACGCTTCTAGTTGTCAAGTAGAGCTAGAATGTAAGTTACGCTGCAAAAAATTGTAGTTTATCACAGCTACTTCATGTTTACATATAGAAGATGGTTTGTATTTTTTCACACAAAGCTTAGATGATTCAATAAAAAAAATGTTTGAGTTCCTTGTCTGATTTCCAGATTTGATTGACAAAAATACAACAGCAAGAGAAATCTATGGGTCGACAAAAACTTTTTAAGAGCACTGTATTCTTTGAAGTAAAATATATAAAGATATTAGAGTTTAATAAAAGTATAAAATAAAAAGCTCAATTTTACTTCTGGGGTGTTTGCAACTACTGCGTATCGTAGAGTACACAGCTATTCCCTTCATGTTAATGAATTTCTTTTAAATGCTCAAACAGAAGGGAGCAAAGTTTTATCAAGAATCCCTATGCAATGATCTGGCCACTATCCCGACAGTTTGTCACATTCATGAATAGAACTCTGAGCAAACAGGTAAAGAAAAATTCATTAAAAACATTTTAAAGAAGCATAAATCAGGGGTTATGTTGATGTTAAAGATTGCTGTTTGGTCAGTTCTCTTTAGTGTTAAAACAGCAAGTGGAGTTCAAAAGTACAGAGAGGAAGGAGAGGAGTTTTTCTCCGTTCCACTAGGACAGTACCCCCCACACCTCCCACCATTAATCCTCCCCTTCCTCCCAGTGTTGCTCTAAGCTCCAAGAAGTTTCTTCACGAGGTAACCCGGCATGCTGTAGAGGAAGAGGCCAATCAGGACGAGCAGGAGCAAGGCCAACACGACTTTGATGATCAGCCACTTGTAGCGGTTGCACACCAGGTAGCGGATGGCCTTCAACGGGCTCAGGAACCACAGGAAGGTGGTGTCTGGACGGCTGGATGACGCACATGAAGGTTTGATAGAATGGAAGCAGGAACGTGGGTAATGGCATGCAGGTGGAGTCATTGGAGGGGTGGGAGTTAAGAAGAGATAAATACAGGGGTTGGAGAATACAATGACATATAAGGGCAGAAATGGGAGAAAAAGAAAGCTGTATTAGTGTATTAAAATAATATTAATTTTTTTCTTACTGATACATTGTTTTCATATCAAACTGATGATTGAAAGGATTAGGAGGAAAAAACTCCCAGGGTAAAAGCTTTACAGTATGGTTGGTAAAGGTTGATATGAATAATGGATGGAAAAATACACACATGACCGACTGAAAGCTGCACAAGCTCTCATCATTTCTACACTCCTTTCTCAGGAGGTTTCAGGCTCCACAAGTACAAACTAACAAACCCCCAAAGGCTTTGTTAGTCTTTATTGAGGAGATAATTCAGTCTTGAAAATCTGGTTCTTAATATCACAATTATATACTCCTTTATTTCAAGGGATTTAAAGTTAAACAGCTTAAGGAAAACAAATCTTTAACACAAAGCAAAAGAAAATTTAGTAAAAAGACATGCCAAAACAGTATTACTTAAATACAATACAAGGGATACTCTGTTATAAGAAATTTAGGTAATACTTTTAAAATCATCAAATGACAGCCAAGCTTTTTGTGTTGGGAAAAAAGCCTTATTTATGTCCAGGATTGTTACAAAGCTTGTGTTTTTTTTGTGTTAACTACAAGCTATTTAGCAGGGGCGGTTGTGGTCTTACATGCAGACGTATTCCTTTCTAGAAAACCAAGGGTCAGAGGTGCAGGGCTTAGATAAATTGTGAGAAATACAAGAAGTTTATCATACAGTATGTTCAGCATAGTACAGTTTTCCAATCAATTCAGTTTGTCTAAAATCTTGCCATGCAAGCATAGAAAAATCCAAGAAGAAGAGTGGGTCATAAATTCTATAAAAATCTGACAAATCAGAAAGAATGCAAATACAATCACTTTAAATGTTTCTGCTGCATTTTGCACCACATCTATTTATCTACACTACACCGAACCTTTCTACATCAATGCCTTTTGCACCATGACTTTAAACTGTTTTTTTCCTTTTCTCCTACACTGTTTACGTTCTGATCACTGCTGCTCTTTATAAATGGTAAATTTAATTTTACTGTTGTGAGCTGCTCATTCACTGTTAAAAAACTGTATGCATCAAAATCTTGTTTTGACAATAAAATTTAGTCTAAGTCTAAATAAAAACAATACTAAGTGATTACTTCTAAAGGTGGTTCAGAAAGGGATAAAAACTATCAAATTATGGGGTTTACTTATTTCTGTTTTCACATAAATGTTATGGTCTTGGTTCTGTTTTGTTTTCTTTGAGTTTTCAGTTACATGTTGATTCATGTTTTTCTTTGTTTTCTAGTTTTATTGGTTTAATTTCTATTTTGTTGTGTTTTGGATATATTTGAGTACTTAAGCTTTTCTTTGTTGCCCTCTGTTGCCCTCTTGTGTTGGTTTCCTTTTCCTTAGCTCTTTTCTTAGAAACTTCTGTTCACACCTGTTCCCAATCAGCTCGTTAGTCCTGCCTTTGTTCAGTCGACCTTAAATACTCTCCCTGTTCAGTTCCTCAATGTTGGTTCCTCATCTTTTCCTGGCTCCTCGTGTTTGTTTTCCTCTGATGTCTCTATGGTTCTGGTTTGTTTAACATTTTCAGTTGGATTTTTGGATTCCTGCCTCTGTTACCTGTGATCGCTACATTAAAACTGCAAGAACTCACCCTTGCCTCCCTGCCTCTGCATTTGGGTCCTAAAAACCTCTACAGACCCTGAAAACAAAGCTTTCAATTTTGGCTTATCTCTGTGTAATGATTACTAATTAAAATCTGCTCTGGGATTTTATTACCTTTTGTTCAATTTATATTATGTCAGAACCAAAGAGATTAAAACAACTGAACTGTTTTTTTTTTTTTTTTTTTTTTTTTTTTTTTTGTGATACTATTGTAATTTCAGATTATGGTTGACACAGCACTGCTGAAATACATAAATATTGATCAATAACAGTGTAGCTTATTTGTATATTGCCATAGTAGCGCTCCGTTCCCTCGGCCTGTCTGGTCACAATGGGGAACCGGGCATTTAGTGGCTCTGCTCCCCACCTCTGGAACTCCCTCCCTCCGGATCTCCGTACTCTGGACTCCTTCCCTCTTTTCAAATCCAGACTCAATGTTGGGATCCAGAGGCTTGCCCACCAGAGGGCGCCGAGGATCCCTTCCTGATAGTTTGTACTTCTGTTGGGATCTGGGGTGCTGTCTACCTTCCTCCACCAGAGGGCGTACTGGATCTCCTAAAGCTGGAGCTGACTTCACCAGCTGCTTCTCATCTGCTCATCAGGAGACCAGTACTTAAGTGGGCTGTGGACAACACTCCAGTGCCAGAGTGTTTTGCCAGTTATGGTTAGCAAGTCTGAGCCAATCTGCCTGCCTGAATCTAGACTCCCTGATTGCCTGAACCTGAACCTAACCTGTTCTTGTCCTCTCTGCTTCTAGGAAGAACCTGTCAGAAATCTGAAACTCAGGAAGAGTTTCTCTGTCTGAAACCAGTCTGTCTGATCATGGGAGAACCCTGGAGAATCAAACCTGTCAGCCCTCAGCCTGCCGTCAGCCTCTGTACCCTCCAGGTTTCCCCCTCTGCCGCTCTGCTCAAACCTCTGAACAGGTACACACCTGCGCTCACTCAACCAGCAAGATTACCAGGACTTCAGCTAACCATTCTGTCCCCCTCTGCAGTGAAAATCTTTCGTGACCAGTCCTGGACCAGATTTTCCCCTGAACCTGTTCAGTGTTCAAACCTTTGTGTTTACAATAAATCTTTGAACTTTCTCCCCTGTCTCAGAGTGTGTTCTGCATTTGGGCAAGAATCACAACCCCAACATGACACTCAAAACTTTCCTGTTCAGACAGTCTTATCCAATCTAGTTCATATGCATCACTCCAATATTGTTTTCTTCCTTTGGCTTTATTTTACTTCCTGCTGTTTTGTTTTCTGTGGCATCTTAATGCTTGTACTTTTTAGCTTCCTGTTTTTAATGTTTTATCTGCCCGTACAGTGTCCTTGGGTGTTTTGATAAGGCGCTTTCAAATAAAATGTATTATTATGGTTAATATTTTCCTTTAAGATTTCTTTTTATACTACTTTGAAACTAAAATAATTGATTACCTCCATAACTTATACTTGTGTAAATATGTTATAAGCTAATACTATTTTAACTGGACTATTAATAATAATAGTCCAGTGGATTGTTTTTTAACTTTTTGGAATGACTATGACCTGGATTACTAAGAATCTTCACCAACGTAATAAAGTATTCAGTTAAATAAAGGTTAACTAAAAAAAATATTTATATTGTGCAGAAGACTATCCTAATAAAAAAAAAAAAACTCTTTTGTGACACTTGGCTACTTTTTATCTCCATCACTGATCCAAAACCGCATTAACAATTTATTTCAAACATCTGTTCCACATCAGTCAGGCGGCCACAGATGAGATGTACAAAAGCACTTGTTGGCAACAGACACAAAAACAAGAAAAAATATTTATGGATGTAGACTAATCTACTTCTAAGGGTAAATAGCAATAAAGGCGGGAGACAGCAGAGAAAGAAAGACAAGAGAAGGTAATAAAAAGAGCTGAATCCCTCAGAGACAGTGAGGAGGGGGCAGAGGCTACCAGCGCGTCAGGCCCCAAGGATCTTCTTGACAAGGTAGCCTGGGATGGAGTAGAGGAAGAGGCCAAGCATGAGCAGCAGCAGTATAAGTCCCAGAGCCTTGAGGATCAGCCAGCGGTAGTTGTGCCAGATGAAGTAACGAAGTGACTTCAGAGGGCCCAGAAACCACATTAGACTCGTATCCGGACGGCTTTTCCGAAGAAAGCAGGGGAGGAGGGGAAAAAAAAGGAGCGCAGATAAGGCAGAGAGTGGGATCAAAGGGTGAGTGGTGTGTACAAAAAAGAGGGAAAGGGTCGTGGGGAGGGAAAGAGACAGGGAAACAGTTGAAGACATGGTAGGAGGAGAAACGAGTGTGTAACAGTGACCTTTAAACAGTGCAAAAAGCAGCGCTGTTCAAAAATAAATATATATAATAAGTCTTGATACACTACTTATTGCACCAAAGGAATGAATGTAAAATGAGGAAAAAAGGCAAATGTGTGTCTAGCATAGTTGTTGAAAACGATTCACACAAATTTTTACTTTAAAATAATGTTTTGTATTTGTAAAATTTAAAATCTAATAAATTTCAAGTCTTACTTGGGTTTCTCCAGCGGATCTGGTTCATTTCTTCCCAGTCCAACAGGAGTTTTCTCCGCTTCCTCTGCAGTGACAAGGTGAAGCTCAGCCTCAACTTTGCCCTGTAATCACAAAATTTTTTTATTTTACAAATACAGAATAAAAATGTAATTTACATGGAAAAACAAACCAAAACATTTGGATTAATACTCATAGATGGACATATTTCTTTAAGATTGGCTTCATTACTACTCTTGTTTTGTAAAAAAAAATATTTTTAGTTCTATATCTTTATCCTATTTTATCTTTTACTTCCAACTATGATTTAATGAAATCACAGCCATTTATAAAAATGATGATTGTCTTACTGTGAGCTCCATCTCGTCGTTCTCATCACGTGCCACAAAAGGCCACCAGCCTTTGACCCTTTTCTGCTTGAAGATAGAAATGGTGGGAAGTTCCTGCTCATTTCGGATCATGCTGAGGGTGCACTGCTTGGCAGTTTTTGCCCCACGGGGGAACCTGTTCAGGTCCAACTCAATAGCACCTGGAAAATGGTGATATGAAAAGCATTCAGCCTCTGACTTGTGAGATACTTTCAAAGGATTTTATCTCAAACTCTATGAGATGTTTGGGAAGCAACAGATATCTCTCTCCCTCGTAAATAATTGTGTTTTTCGTGTTTGTGTTTTTTACTTCAACATTATCTGCATGGAAGTGAATCTGTGTGAGTGCACAAAAAAGGAGCAGCCACTTTTGGTAAAAATCCATCCCCCTTGAATGAAAAGAAAAGACGGTCAAGTGAAATTATGATTATGAGACTTAACAACTGACAAGTGCACAATATAAAAGCAAACATATTTCAAAAGGCTGCATCTTTGGGCTGTAATCAGATCTTGTAAAGCTGCATTTATCTCTGTAACAGTCATGAAAAGCAACAGAACTGCAAATGCAATGTCTTTGTGTTTCTCAAAATGTCTTTTTGTGTTTGGATTCAGTAGTTATTAACTTATAGAATACAGATAAGAAAACCTGTTTTAGGAGAAATGCTAGCAGAGTTTGCACGTGTGTACATCTGTTACCAAGTTATTATTGTGCATCCAGTACCTTCTCAAAAGATTCTGGTTCCCCTGTGTTAGGCATAATATTTAGTAGAGTTCTTTCCAAAATAAAGGATTTGAATGAGTTACTGTTTTTATTTTATGTGACTGATCTTAGACTATTGACAGGGGTAGTTGACAGAAGAGCTAGACCTCAGCATAGATTTCATTAAGTTCAGAGTGATGTGGAGGCGCACAGCTATAGAGGGTTTTGAATGTTAAATGTTGAATTCTAAATAAAGTAAATAACTGAACAAATTTGTTTTTTCAAGATATGTGAGATATGCTGCTAAGAGATGATGCTGAAGGCAGAATTCAGGTTCAGCTGACGCCTAGCAGGGTATTTAGGCCATATAATACAGCAATACAGTAAACAAGCCCAGATCAGAAGAGAGCATTAATTAAGGTAGCTGTTAGGGGTGAGGGATGGATGGAGATGGAATAAAGAAAATTGTGTGACATTATAAGTTGTATGTGCATAAAGAGGAGAGAGTTCAGTCAAGTACAACAATAAGATTCTTAACTTAAGAGGAAGAAGGGATAAAGGAATTTTTAACATGTAAATAAGATAAATTAATTTTTAAAGAATGGTGTCGGCTGCTGTAAAAAGAAGATCTGTTTATGTTTGTTTAGTTTCAGAACTTATGGGAAAGCAAGATTTGAACATATTTTAGACAGTCAGGGAGAGAACTGAAAGGTTGGCTATATAGAGAAAGGTGTCATCTGCATAACAGTGGAATATTAGATGGAATATATTGAATATATCGCCAAACAAGAGAGGCTAGATGAGGAAAAGAGCCCCGAGGCCTGAGCCCTTGGGAAACATTGATTTTAAATAAGTTTGGGACAGATGTTTTTCTAACTGAACATGATGGATGCAGTCTGATATAGATAACATGAATCTGCACAGAAAGGCAGTTGTTAAAAAAATACTAAAAGATTATGAAGGAAATTATGTGAAATGGTGTCCAACTATACTGTCAAGTGAAGAATAATTAAAATGAATAATCTTTCCTGTGCCATGGACAAAAAACATCCATTCTCTCTCTCCTGGCTGAAGTCAAACCTATTTTTGTATTATATTTGGTTTTTATCTGAGAAGAATGTGCTCTGACTCAAGATCCTGTAGAAGACTTTACTGTGATCATTTTTTTTACTCTTGGTTTTTCTTTTCCAGTTTGTTTTCTTTTTCCTCAGGTTTCATTTCTGCTATTTCAAGCTAGAGTCGTTTTCATAAAAATGTGCTTAATTCTGCTGGAGGTATCTTCTTGTTGAAGGGTGTGGCTCTTTTCCCATCATCACATACTTCTTCAGGAAAAGCAGCACTGAATTGTAATTTATATAATTTGCCTTGATATGCTTTTTAGTATTAATTATCACTTGATGAATAGACTAAATGGCTAACCGCCTTTTAGCACAACAACAACAATGCTCCAAAGTCAATCTGCAAATTTTACAATCACTAATTTTAGGACTTCTCTTTAGTTAATTATAAAAAGAAAAAAAAAAGTAATTCCCAGCTAAATTTGATGTAAAAATTCTTGCGTTCAGTCACAAAATCTAATCTTGGGAAAATAAAACATAGGTTCTTGGAATTTTTTTTTTAGATAATCAAGGTTTTAGTTTAATCTTATGAATCAAAGTATATAATAGTATATATTTAATAGTATCTAGTAAGAGTTTAAAAGATAGCTTGCTTTATAGCACAATACAAATATTTCTGCAGGCATCTATAATGTCATCAACTCGGCTTCATAGATGCTTCTAGTCTTCTATCCAGTAGATCCAGACTTATTAGTGTGAGAAATAATTTCTCTAGCAGTGTTTCAATCTAGAAAGCTATATTTTGACTTAGTACCTACCCCTAAACCTACTTTGATAAAGACAACTATCATCAGTCCTTACCCAGGAAGTCATCCGCTGAAAAGTGGTCAGCATCCCAGACCTGCAGCGTGAGACGAGGAGGGATCTTGTATTCAGTCTCATCCCAGGAGAACATGGACTCCTTCTTAGAGATTACGATTTTCTCCTCAGCTACAAGGTAATCAAAGGGGAAGACGAAGCGCCAGTTGAAGTTGCCCTCACCGGTCAGGGAGTGGTAATGCACATCTGTGTCTTGTTTGTCTTCCTGCTGCCCTTTCAACCATCTTTAGAAGGAATGAAAGAAACAGAATGTAAAATCAACAGCCTTTGTTGATTGTATATAAGAATCAATATAAGAATCATGCATGTACAAACTTGCAAAAGTTGGTTAGTATTAGTGATTTTAATAAAACATATTGTTTTTTAATATCAGGAAAAATTATTTTAGTAGGTTACTATCAAATTAGGAAAAAAGTAAATCAAAGTTAACATTGATGTATTGTCAGTTAATGCCTTTTCGAATTGCTCAAACAGCCACAGATAAATCAAGAGATTTATTTTAAACTATATTTACAATTTGGTTCAGTTAGGACATAAATTGAAAATATGAAAGTTAAAGTAGTTGTTTTCATTAACAGTAGAGTAAGGATGGCTTCATGAGTCAGGGGGGGAGAAAAAGAGTTGCTCTCGAGCTTGGACATTTGCAGAAGTAACAATCTGAAAACTCCAGGGTTCTGACACATTTTCTGTTTGAGAATTTTTGACTTTTTCAGACTCAAATGTTCGTACATGTAAATATCTCATTTCATTTTCTCTCAGTTTTTTATGTACTGCCATAAACCTTTTTTTTTTTAGATGCAAATATGTTTTAGCTACTGTGTATGGGTTCTTGGAATTAAGACCCTTTTTAATCACCTGAGCCACACACTGCAAAAAACACCTAAAAATAAGTGAAAAATGTCTTGAATTAAGTGTATTTACCCTTAATTTGAGCAGGTAAATAAGATGACCTGCCAATTGAATTAGCATTTTTACTCCTAAAATAAGATAATTAGATAATATATGCTTGAATTAAGACAAAACAATAGTTTTTTTTTCTTATTTTAAATGTAAATTGTCTCGTTCCATTGGCAAAGTGTCACACTTACCTCCTCAATTCAAGAAAAAATGCACAAAATTTTAGCAAAAATGACTTATTAAGATTTCCATTTTTTGCAGTGCACCAACTATAGATAATACGCTACAGAAACATGCAACTATCAATGTTTATTGCCACTTACTATAAAAACCCAAATGTAATTCATCATGGATAGAATCACTTGGAGGAGATGCAGTCATAAAATGTTTTATTGACATCAAGAAATTAATAGATCTTGGTGCTCAAAACCCTGCAGAAGTGAACTGATGAATGCAGCTGATCTGCATGAGCAGGTACTTCCAGGTTATAGACATGGAATGTCTTTTTTACTGCATTCATCTGAGCCCCTGAAGACTCATTTCATGGATTTTAATTTCGATGGATATAGTTTCAAAACTTCCAAAGGTTTTGCATCTATGTTCTGAGTATTTCAAAGAGCATTGCTTTCATACTTTCGGTGCTAACAAAGCAGGCTTCTCCACACATCTTAAACGGAGGAGTGGATTGATACCAGCTGTCCATTACAAAGCTTTAAAGGTAAGAGCCGGGAATAACATTACTGTATTAGACTGCTTAGCCTGAGAGCCTCAGCTGTTTTAATAAGTGGTTGTTTTTATATAAGAGGTATGCTTGTGCTAAATTACTTCTGTCAGTGGCTGCCTGTTTAGTTTATCACAGCAGATAGATGCTTCGACAGTTTTGTTTATTAAAAGGTTGTTTACAGTCTAAGTTTTAACGCCGTCCCCTGAAAAACCTGATCGTTCCGTATAAAGAAGATATACTCTCTTCTATGTATTGAGATGATTACAGTGAGATTTTTCTGTATTACTGGTGGATTAAAAAAAGGCGGCGTTTTTGTTGTTAACAACATAGATTATTGGTAATGAGCGGTTATCCAGTCAGTCTGCTCCTGTTACTTGTTGTTGTCAATGATAAGCTGGCCAGAGTAGTCTGTAAAAGCCAATTGGATAAAGGTTAGGCCTTCATTTTATGTTTTATTCCACGCTCCTTTTCACCTTCCTTAAAAACTCTGACTGGTTGTCATGGTTGTGGAAGCACAACCTTTGTGACGACAGGGGCATGCAAAACTAAAACAGCTCGTTTAGAAAAGAGCTGAATGAGCAGGTTATTGGAGCACGCTGTCTACCTAAATTGAGAAGAATTTTACTGTACAAACAGCAAAAACGAACTCCGAAGGGCTCATTGTTAACATTATACATATAAAATTATATATATGTTAACATATTTCAAAATATAGCATAACATAATAACCTTTAATATAATGAAATCTAAAGCTTGCTTTTGTCAAGAAACTTTGATTTATCTCAATATGTCAGAGAACACCATCTATAGCTGTTTTTCTTACCTCAGATATATATATATCAGACATGTTCACAAGTCATTTTTTGCAAGTCCAAGTCAAGTCTTAAGTCTTGAGAGCTCAAGTCCAAGTCAAGTCTCAAGTCTTGAGAGCTCAAGTCCAAGTCAAGTCTCAAGTCTTGAGAAGGCCTGTCGCAATAATCAATTAATCGCACAAAAAATTCTAAATTCTTTTTTTTCAAAAAAAACTATTTTCTTACAGTATTTACCTGACATTTGTGGTTACAACTTTTTCTAGTTTTAGCAGTAAATGTCTGCTCTTTTATTTTTAATTGAAAATGAGGACTGTGGAAAAAAAAACAATCACAATCCTGCCTTTTATTAATACATATGAGGTTAGCAACTACAAGAGATAAAGAAAAACCCTAAACAAATAGCAGTACAATAACAATACTTTTATAAAAGAAACATTGTGGCAATAACTTTTTGTAACTTAATGACTTGGCGGGCAGTATTTTCAATTCAATTCAGTTTATTTATTTAGCGCCAATTTACAACATTATTCACAACATATTTCTCCTCTACCATTGCCATGAAGCTTTTAAAGCTGGGCTTGTCGATCAAAGACAAGGGGAGGTTGCATGAAATAATAAGGTCCTGAATTATTGCCTTATGTCTGTGATGTCCCTGGCTGTACACCCTCACTGCACTGTGGCTGATAAAGTTAGATGTGGTGGACCAAGCATCGTGTATTCTTTTCTAAAGAAGCTGCAGTTTGCTGCTCTTTTATTCCCGCCTTATGTAAAGTTTTTGTAGCCAAAGGTTATTATGAACGGTGGCACCGAAACAGGGGGGGTAATCATCGCTTCCATATCTGTATGGGTT